TGGAAAGGAGGAAGATGGACTTAATTCACACGTGCAAGGGTAAGGTCAGATGCCAAGGCTACCGCAGGGACAAACTAGCTTTTCTAGCCCCAGCTCCTTTGCACAGATGTTGGGGCACAGATAAGCAGCAGATCACACAGGAGTTCTCAGGACTGGAAAAGCCTGGAAACCTCATGAACAGCGTGCTCAACATATGGCACAGCTTGAGTGGGAGAGAGGCTGAGAGTCTCCACGTGAACCCTGCAGCCATATATGGGGTTTGATGGGTGTAGGAATCAAGTATGAAGTTTGTGGGATGTGGGATCAGAGCCACGTGGTTGTGACACATAGCATATCACAGCTATGCCATATTAGAAAAATAGGTTAAGAATAGGAAAAAACAAGATGGCCAAAATGTTTTATTTGCTTTGACACCCAACCAGATTAACTTGTTTCCAAAAAACAGATTAAAAGTGAAATATAGCTGAGGCGTGCTGCAAGAAATCTTGAGTTCCATCATCTCCTCTCCTCATTATTTATTACTTACTCAAGAACTACTGTAAAACTCTGATCTTGGCATTTAAAATACCTTGTGCTTAGCGTTAGGAGTGGAGAGAGGTTTATATGCAAGATATAAAAACTAAATTAAGAAACAGCAAAGTGACAGAATCAAAGAAACTAGGAATAAAAATTAGTTAAGAAACTAACGCACTGAAAGAGATCTGCAGAGCAAATGCAAGACACCAAGAAAGGAAAACCTCTACTTCATTATAGTGTCAGCACTGTAGTTACAAACCTTTATTTTTAGAGTTCCTTCGTTTCAGTTCTTGCACAGAACTGCCTGCAGACAAAGCAAACACTTCTAGGTTTCTGGGCTTGATCCTGTCTCTTTTAAAGTCATTTTCACCAGAGCAAGAGCTAACCCAAGATCTGTGCACACAAGAAACCCAAATACTTCCTGGCAATCGTTTCTGTGCTAACTTGTGCCAGAGTTGTATACGCAGAATAGAAATGTGCTCATTTACAGCCTGGCCCATAGCTCCTTGGCTGTGGGAACACTTCCTCAGTTTGCCTAGCTAGCACATGACTCAGGTAGGTGCACATACACATTTCACACGCATATTTCTTTCATGTAGGCACAAGTAGGTTCCTGCTTTGTAACACTGAATCCACAGAGTGTTTGCTGGCAAACAACTATGCATTCATTTTATTTTTACATGCTGTGATGTGTGCAAAAACCTGGATAACTTCAAACAAGGAGAAGATAAACAATGCTTTCATAGTTTCAAAAATAATGCACAATGCAGCCTCCAGATTATGAAGATCTTCAGGCATTCTTGACATCTCCATTACCCTGCCAGCAACAGTGAGCAATGACTCCTGAATGCTGACTTTAAAACCAATAGATTCTCTCAGTGCTGAGGATAGGGTGAATTCCCCAAAGGGATTAAGCAGGTTTTCAGACCCCCACCAGCAATGCCTTTTGCAGTGTATCATAGAGTCATAAAATCAGAAAAATGGCTTATGTTGGAAGAAACCTTAAATATCATCTAGTTCAATCCTCCTGCCATGGGCAGGGTTGCCCAGGAGCCTGGCCTTGAATGCCTCCAGAGATGGTATGACACCAGCCAGGTGAAAGACGTCCCCCCCATGAGACGGTGACATTGCACCAAGGCTGGAGCCTGTTCTGCTGCATCCCAGCATGCTTATGCATAGGAGGGGCTGCAATGGAGGAATGCATAGGGTTAGTCCACGCATGTTCCTCAGACTTACTTAAACTTGGCTGCTGCGATGTTTAGAATCATTGGAGGAAATGGACTCCCTTCCAGCTCTCATTACTAGTCAGGTTTCCAGCACTGGACTTCCAACACTGGACTTCCTTCCCATCCAGATCCATCTGCTGAGCTGGTTGGTGTCAGGGCAACAAGATGGGAATGTCATTATCCAGACCTAATTTGGCCTAACCTCTGTCATCTGACATGTTCAAGGATCACAACCCTGTTTCCAATCTAAAGGAATTTGAGATGAGCTCGCTTTGAGTGATTGCTGCTACACTGGCAATGGAAAATGAAGAACTGCACTTGTAGATGGATTTGAGTATCTCTCCAAAGTTCTTGGATACTCTACTATAGAGTAGCACAGATAGTCCCAACTATAGAAATAATCTCCATGTCTTCACCTTCTCTGCCTGGCAGCTGCATTCCTTGCACTGCTGACTGATCAGTGAGCCTGTATACGTGGTCTTGCAGTGTTTTTGCTGTCAGAAGGCCAATTTATTTACATAAGATGTGAATGCTGACCTCTGCCTGAAAAAAGGAGGAGAAAACATTAAGTTCAGGCAGACACCAGCATGTCCCTCTGCTGAAAGCTGAGCCTGAAGAACATGCTTAGCACCATGCTCACAACCATTTTGGTGTTGCTTTTCCTGTATTTTTTCTTCCTGAATGCAAGCATGGACTAGACCACAAGCCCATTCCCCTTGCTTGAGCACACAACTGCACCACACACTGTGACTGCAAGGTGGGCATTCACAGGTTATGTCAGACATTTGGTCATTGGGGGAAGTTGAAATTGACAGCCTGGACTCATCCATGCCCTGAAAACTACTAGAGGCTACAGTTGGGCTTACACTAACAGGTTTCTCTCTCTACAAACCTGCATTCAACAGCTGCACACCTAATCAAATACTGTTCCTGTTATTCTGTGTTCCTGGTCCTGCTGCATGATCCTGTATTCCAGGAGCCATTCTTGCAGGTGTGTAATGTCAGCTAGGGTGCCAAGAGAGAAGTCTCAGGGCATCTTTTCTTCCTCCTAGCTTAGTTCACAGCCAGAAAGTGTTCTTGGGGCTCAAAAAGACTTGGATACACCAGGACAACTTGGAGCCTGCGCATCTCAGGAGAGAGAAGCAATACATCAGCTACCAGTCCTGCTGTCCCAAGGCTGGGAAAGAACCTGGGGACTGTCTGCCTTGGGCATGTATCTTAGCATCCTATACACTATCTCCTAGCTTTTCTTTCCAAGGTTCAAATGGCATGTGTGTTCTCTTACAGCTCCAAGGTGGACAAGGAGAAAGAGCTAATGAACACTGCCATAAAGCCTCTTTGATATCAGGGACGCATGTATAGGAGGCTAGCCCTGGAAAATTATACTATTTACTTCTGCTGGAATGGGAAATGAAAACAGTTGATGCTGGCAGGGCTCTCAGCCACAGACAAGCATTTGTCAGTATGCAGGAACCCCCCAGGACAACCAGACACCCTCAGAAAGCAGAGTGAAGCATACAGTGTGCTGAAAAACATTGATGAGGTGCTAAACATTTCCTTTCCCTTCTGTATTATCTTCTTATAACAGGACAAAAAACCTATTAGATTCTTTTGCTTATGGTAGATTTTATGAAATTACTTAAAAAATACTTTTTGACACATTTCCATTAGTAGCAGCCCTGGTTCTTTAGTAATTCATAAAGGAAATATATGAAAAAAATGGCTTAGAGCTAATCCCTTGGGAAACAGAAGTGCCTGATTTGATAGCTTGGCCTGGTCACTGGACAAAAAAACCCAACAGGGCACTGTACCTAAGTTAGGTAGCAAGGCAAAAAGCGTGTGCCCAGTCTGCTCTGGATGCTCTGTTCAGGTTCAGCAGGACATGTTTCTTCTCACTCTGGATTCACAGCTGTGTAAACTTAATTATAGTTTCTCACCTTGCATTAATTAACATGAGAAGTGAAGACACCTCTCCTCATGCTGCTCTTACTCCTCCCACCCCCTATCCTCAGATAACCCAGCCCCTGGAGGTTAGCTCTCCCTGGGCGAAGTTTTGCATTCCTATGGGGAGGAGGCACCTGGGCAGCCTGGGTGAGGCTGCTCATGAGGGCTGAGGTCTCTGTCTTCTGCCTGTTGGAGGGAAGGGAATGCATTTCGTGTAACCTCTTCCCCCCCCTCGAAGGAATGCTCCTGTGTAGAATCATAGAATCATTATGGTTGGAAAAGATCACTAAAATGATCTAGGCCAACTACCAACCCATCACCACCATGCATACTAAATCATGTCCCTCAGTGCCACGTTTCTTCAACACCTTCAGGAAAAGTGACTCCAGCATCTCCCTGGGCAACCTGTGCCAATGCCTCAGCACTCTTCCCGAGAAGAAATTTTTCTGAATATTCAATCTGAACCTCTCTTTGTGCAACTTGAGGCCATTACCTCTCTCTCTTGGCATATGCCAAGTGCTCCTGAATTGCTGTAGTTTTCAGCCCAGCTGATGAAGATCTGGAGCTAGCCTAGATGGAGGGGAAACTGAGGTGGTCTTGGTGGCTGCAGAGTGCCTTGTTTCAGAGCAGCAAACCCAGGTGGTTGATGACGCCTCAAAACTGCTAGGGTGACATTTCTGGTTCTCCTTTACACCTGAGCTGGGGACTCAGGCTCCACATCAGGCACCACACTGCATCCTAGGAGGAGGGAGAGCATGGGAAAGACTGCAGAATGGGACACGTGCACTTCACGGGGCTTAATAAACAAAGGACAAAGTTTAAAAATTTGCTAAAGGGTTCATGAAAATCATTTACCATCTTCATTCTCTAAAGCAGTGAAGTAAGTTTGATTGCACAACTAAAGTAGTTTCTGTACCAACTGTTTGTGTTAATCCGTTTATTTATGAGAAGCATCTGAGAAAAACAAACTTGTATCGTTTGCCAAAGCTTCCCTGCCGACAGCACTATACCCTCCTCTCTCCCACTGTTTTCTTTCCCCTCACTACTACACAAGAGAGAGGCAAAAGACGGAGAAGTGGGAGGGTTGACACCACTGCTCTCAGTGGATTCCTTCGGTGGTAAACGCGCTTAAGTCGAAGAGCTCACGAGCACAAAGTCATACGATAACGCACGCTTCTGTTCCTCACAAGCCGGGAGCCACCGCCCCGCGCTCGGCAGCTTTCAGCCCAAATCGCGCCTTCGGACGGCGACAGCGGGACGCGGAGTCTGCCGCTCGCGCTGCGCTGCCCATCCGGCGGAGCCGGGAGCACGGAGCACCCACCCCCTCCTCCCGGACCCCCAGCCGCACACCCGCCCGCACGGAGGCGCGCAGCCGCTCCGCGGGCGGTGCCGCCAGGTGCGCCCGCCCAGGCACGGCCCCGGGGGGGCGGCCGCGGCGCCTCGCCCCACCCCGCCGCGCCGGGAGCTCACCGCCCCCGGCTGAAGTCCGGTGCCGCCGCGCCGATCCGAGCCGTGCCGTGCCGGTGGTGCCGTCACTCGGCGCTTCCAGCATGCTCCTAAGATGGCGGTAGCAGCGGCGGGCGGCGGCGGCGGGGGCGGCCGGGCGCAGCGCAGCGGCTGGCTGGAAGTTTTGGTGCGGGAGCGCTGGCACAAAGTGCTGGCCAACTTGGGCGGTGAGGCGCTGGTGCTGAGCGGAGAGGAGCGCCCCGACGGCGCGGCCCACAACGGGCTGGGAGGCGATGGGGCGGCGTGCCGCGGGGCCGAGGGCGGCGGCGGGGGCTCGGCGGTGCGCACCGCCTTTACCGACCCCCCCGAGCAGGTGCCCGAGGCCGTCTCCAACAAGAAGCGCTGCGTGAAGGTGCTGAAGCAGGAGCTGGGCGGGCTGGGCATCAGCATTAAGGGAGGCAAGGAGAACAAGATGCCCATCCTCATCAGCAAGATCTTCAAGGGGCTGGCGGCCGACCAGACCCAGGCACTCTACGTGGGCGATGCCATCCTGGCCGTCAACGGCACCGACCTGCGGGATGCCACCCACGACGAGGCGGTGCAGGCACTCAAGCGGGCCGGCAAGGAGGTGCTGCTGGAAGGTACGGGGCTGCCGGCGGAGGGGGATGCGGGACGCCTCCGTGCGCCTCGTTTCGGGCGCCCTCCCGGTAGGGAGCCCCGACGGCGCAGGGACGGAGCCCCACGGATGGCACCGCGCTGTTGACGGGGCTCCGCGGTTCGGTCGCACATCGGACGGCGGAGCCCCGACTCCGGCCACGATGCGGAGCCCTTTCTGGGGTCGGCGGCTGAGCCGGGCCTCGGCGTGGGGAGTGGGCTCAGAGGAAGTTGGTAGTGCCTCCTAACACATAAACCATCCCCAAACGTTTCGTGTGTGGATGAGTTTGGTAAGAAGCAGCTTTAGAAACTGAGTCTGGAGTATGGTGCTCAGTGTTGTATGGGAATTGTCTATGAAACGAGACAACTGTTGGTGAAGGCTGAGCAGAGGCAGAATCACTCCCCGGGACACCATGCTTATAAGGAGAGAGGTGTTCATGGACGTGCAGTCTTTGTGTTCTCTCTGGCATTTGTGTGACTGCTGGACCTGAGAGAATGAACAGCTTCAGCAGTGCCCTTGGTGCATGTTTGATAAAGTGATTGCACATTAGCCCAGAAGTTCACTTAACCACAGGTCATTGGCATTTTTTGTGTGCTACTGTGCCATCCCCGTGCCTTCCTTTAAGCCCTGGTGCCCTTACATCGGTGTCTTGAGAGCACTGTAGGTACCCTTTGAGCACAGTTCACATGTCTCTTCTGTGTAAAAAGAAGCAGAGGAAGTTCTGCTGCCAGTTCAGGGATACGCAGGAGCATCAGCTGCAAACCGACTGTGGCACAAAGTTATGGGAAAAGCCTTAAGAAGTGGTTCTGTGCAGTAAAGGTGGCGAAGGTGAGACAATTTAATCTATGGTTGTGGCTGCTGAGAAACTGCTCAGTGCCATCCACACTGCAGTGAAACCCGTGGGGAGATTGCTGCAAGGCTTTAAGAAGCAGAGGGCCACCGCGTGCCCTGTGCTCCTATGACCAAACCGCGTTTCCTCCCCACTAACTGCATGCAAAGATTCCTGTGAAGTCCTAATGTAAACTCACCGAGGTCTGAATGGAGTGGTGACGTCGGAATTGTGCCACTGGTTTGTTTGCACAGTGCGGGGCTCCTGGGGTGTAGCAGCAGCTGACCTGCGGTACGATCTAACGAGGCGCGCACAGCACGCTGCCTGTGGAAACAGCACCTGGCTGCTGCAGAAGCCTGCTAAAAAACTCGTTGTTTCTGGTAGGAGCACACTTGAAGCTGTTTGAGCAGGGACTCCTCCTCTCTGCTCCATTGGCCACTGCAGCTGTTTTCTTGCCATTTCTTTGCCCCATGGAGGTGTAGGCTGATGTGCTTCAGTGCGTATTCCCGCAATGGAATTTGTAAGTTGTAAATTGAGAGTCTCTTTCAGTAGTCCCTCCAACACTGAAAGCAGTACTTGTCTTGGTTTTCTTCTGCTGTTTTAGCACAGTACCCAAATGCAGGATTGTCCCCGCTGTGTCCCCTGGAGGTGCTGCTCTGTGCAGCTGGAGTTAGACTCAGTGATCCATGGGGGTCCCGTCCAACTTGGGATTCTGTGAACTTCTGCCTGAGTGACTTGTGTAAACCAGCATTTTGGAACAATTCCCCAAGATTCAATTTCCCACTTAGAGACTTCTTCCGGTAGCACAGTCTAAAATGATCTTTTTACTACAAAGGAAAGGAATAGCCAGAAGATTTTTTTTCCTCTTTGAAGTACAGAAGGGGAAGAGCATTGCTTTTCCTTACCTCCCAGACAAGAGGAATTTGCTGCTTCCTGGCTTCTTGGAAAGCTGTGCATTAGAAGGGACAACTCTGAGCTGGGGCTGAGATGAATCCCTACACAGTTCCTCTCTGGACTGTTGCTCTGGTTAGCAGGGCACTACCACTGTACGATACCAACACATAAAATGCACATTTTCAAGGAGATTCAGAGGCTTGTGCCTTGCAGAGTAGAAAAGCTGAATTTGGCTCTAAGTAATTCAAAAGGCATGGCAAGGTGCTAAGCACGGGGGATGGATCTCGGGGTGCAAGGGGGAGGCTGTGGTGTTACTCCAGGTGTTGCGAGCTCCAGGAAAGGGTTTCTGGGTTGTGTGCATGCCAAAGTGGTCAGTTCAGAGGCTGTGGTCAGCGTGGCTTAGTGCACCCGATGTCACGGCTTTGCGTCCTTCTAAAACTGCTTGCTCAGTGAAACGAGGCATTTACCAGCTCAGCACTAAACTGTCCTCTCTCGCATTCCTGTGGGGGGGACGGGAGCAGAAATCCCTCAGCAGTCCCTTGGGGGAGAGGCAGGGCTGGCACTGGGGTAGGTGACAGGGTGGTGTGTGGTGATAATATGCGTGTCCTTTTTGCTGCATCGATCCTTCTTACAGTAGGAGGAAGGCAGGTGGGACTTAGTAAGTGGAAGAGAAATAATGCACTGCCATAGGAGGAGCTGTGAGGCAGAAAATTCAGGAGGTGGCGGATGAGGATGAAGTTCTGATCTAAGAAACGCTGCTTTCCCCTCATCTGCAGGGATGGACCTCTTCTTTCCCCAGGGTTTAATTTCCTGCTGGCCTCCCAGCACAGCCCAGGTGCAGAGAAGGGATAGGGCAGCTCACGCAGCCCCAGCTGTGATTTTGGATGTTCAGTTCGTGAGAGATGTATGTAGCATTCAGGAGCATAAAGAATTTTTCTACATGAGAGACCAGGCAGCCTTCTTGTATGCTGGATGTTGTTTGCAGGCATGGAAGGCAGCATAAATTATCACAGCAGCTTCTGTTTAAACATATGATTTCCCTACGGTTCTGTTAAATTGGGTCTTCTTAAATAAGCACTTTGGAAAATCAAGCATCCCCTCTTATGTTGTACGAAGCATGTTTCACTCAAGTGATTCTCAAATGCAAAAGGTGTTTTTTTTAATCAAAGCATCCTAGTTGAGAGCAGTCCCTTGGCATGCTTGGGAACCAAGCAGGTTGTGCTTTACTTAAATTCTCAATCTGTTTTGTGAAAAAAAATTATAAATCAATATAAAATGTGCTAATGTCAGATGGGGTCCCCATAGCCTTCATGATGTATTTGGATGTGGAGAAAAAAAAAAAGATGTGTTTTTTTGCTAGGTGGTTTCAGGATGTATTTTGTAGATGGTATTACTTCCTAACTCATTGAAAGTATGCAAACATGGTTTTGATGGTGGTGGTGGCAGGTATGCAGCAGGAGAAGGAGAATCTTACTGATGTTGCAGAGCTTTTCACTAGTTTTAAGCAATTCTCAATTAAACAAATATAATTGCAATGTAGTGGCTACAGTTCCCTTGAGATGAGGCTCTTGCAGTCTCTATTGGTTTGCAGAAATTTCCCACAGAGCCACAGCCACCAGCATACTGAATTCCAGCATATGGGCAGTAGACCATAGTTACCTTTTACAGCCCTTTGGGAGGTAATCCACAGCTTTAAGGCAGAACAAGCATGGTATGCTCTGCGTTGCAGTAACACATGCTGTTTTCCAAGCAGTATTTCTGTAAGAATTGTAGCAGTTCTCCCTTCGGAAATGTTTTGTGGTTGAAATGAAGCGATTCCAATAGCCTAAATGACTTGTGTGTTGACACAGTGCAAAATAGGCATGGGCAGCATGTTAGCTGTGTTTGTCTACTTTATCTATAATTTCATGTTTCTTTCATGAAAATCTCCTGGCAGCAGGAGATTTAGGGGAGTTAAAGTACATTATTTATCCAAGAAAATGTGTCCCTTGCAAGTACAGAGGGAAAATGAGACGCAGGGCACTTAGGAAATGCCCACCTCACACAGCTGCTCACTGCAATCAGGGCTGTAAATCTCAATGACTGCAAATCATATGCATAGTTACTTCTTGCGGTTCCAGTAAATGTATGGAGAAAACTTTGGTTTTTTTTGATGTTGTTATTCCAGCAAAGATGCAGTTAGGGAAGTGCTTTGTACTTAGAGGTCATATCATGTTTCTTAGACCAGTGAAATTGAAAGGTAAAGGAGGAGGTAATCTCATTCTCAACAACAGCAGGTCTGAGCCGTCTCTGCAAATCTCAGTTTGGATTGCCTCGGCTGCCTACAGCTGATGGGGAAGCTTGAGTGGGAGCACTTGATGTGTCTTCCATTGATTAGATTAGATTACAAGCTAATTTAGCAGTCCAGACAGTCTGTATCACCTTTCACAGATAAGAATCAGTGCATCCTCTTTGCAGTAAATCTGCTTTAAGTCCTCTTTCTCAGTTACT